ATGTCCTCTGCCAACACAGTGCAGCTTCATTACTGCAGTTAATGGAAAAAAAGATGTTTCGGAGTGTCTTTTTTTCCGTGATGTCCTTTTCCGTTTCAGAAAGGTGAGGACAGGAGCCGTCAAATTAGGATCACACGGAATGAAGAGATGATGACATGACGTCTCCACAATGGTGGTATTGTACGAAGAAGATGGACTTGCTTTGAGAGCCTGTGTTTATGTGTTTTTGAAGAGTTGTTTCATATCTGGGCATTAGATCAATAACGCGTGACTTCCATCACACACACACACACACATACACAATGTGGTTGGTGGGTAAATAAGCCTTCCGTGTGAACATCTGTTGTCAGTAACAGGTGATGGTAAGGTGAGACCACACTGTTGCCCCCTCCCAAACCTCACACAAATAACCAATACAGACACACAGTAATGCTGTTTGCAGCCTTTGGCTGTCAGACTACATCTCCGTCTCTCTGTACTGGTGGTGACAGCATGATATACAAAGCCATTAAAAGAGCTGACACTGTCTTTTGTTGGCGTGATAGTCCAGGATTTTCAGACCTGCTCACCAACACGACACAATGTGCAAAACACAACAGCTGGTTTTCAAAACAGCAACCAAAAAGTGTCTTTTTTTCCATATACTTTTCCCATACTTGAAGGCAAGTGTGTCGAACAACATGTCGACTACCTTCCGGCTCCGACGTTGTACCACAGCTGACCCTGACCGCCCTGTGGAGGTGGGGAAGTGGAAAACAAATGTATCCTTTGGGAACCGTTGAAATGTCATATATCATACAGGCATCCAGCAAAAGCAGACGTCTGAGATTCAGACTGAATTGCCATTCAATTTCAGAGTTCAGTTGATGAACACTTCAGACATAGAGGGCAGCCTTCTCAGTAAGAATGTTGATTTGTCTCTATATTGAAAGTTGTCATCTTTTATTGGTATTTTATTTCTGTTCATTTCATTACACCTGCATTTTGTTTTAAATGTTTCTTATTTTCCTTTATATCTCCTTATCTGATGTTCTGTTGAGTATTTGCTTTGAATAAAATCCACATACCAACAATGACGAGGTGACACAACTTCACAATCTCACATCTGGTCCTCCATCATTTTTGCGTTATATTTAAATGTGAAGAAAGTGAGTTTTTTACTAAAGGAACACTACTTACTTTCAGTAAGTGAAAGTAGCACAAATTCCAGTGCGACACTTCGATACGCTCACAGTTGCATGAATATACACCTGTACATGCATACCTGCCCAAACACAGAGGCTGGGGAGACTTTAGAAGTGGAAACACATAGAAAGTTGAGTGAACAGACTTTGACTGAAACAGAGCGCCAGCTAGATGATGCAAAGCATTGAAACCATGCAACTCATGCTTTAGTCCCCGTTGTATCAGTCTACTGTGAGCTAACCTGAAGGTGTCTTAGTTCGGCTGCACAAAGTGCTGTTCATATGGCATCCTATTATCAGTACAGTGACTTTAGACTTGATAGGAAGGAGAGATAAAAACAGAAAAAGAAAGACAGAGAGGCAGATATA